CAAATTTGAAACATGCACACAGAATAAAAAAAATTAAACTTAATTTCATTAAAGATAATCATTATCTTATGTTTATTAGAAATGTGTCAGTCAAAACTGATGAGCAAAGACATAAGAAATGCAGAAAGGTGTTACTGAAACCAGTTTGGGCAAACTTAAATGACACAAGGAGTCCAGTGCATCATGTACAATTCCCATTAAATGATGCAATACGTTGAAACGAGAGAAGAAACACTTCTCAAAATCTCTCAACAGCACAAGAAGCACTTTAATACATATACAAATCAGCACTTTTTCTTCTTCTTCTTCTTGTCGGCTTTGTTGGAGTCATCGTGAGCTTTCCTCTTAGCTGCTAGCTTGTTGGCCTGTTGGAAGGTGTGCATTAGATTCATGAACAATGAATTCTGTCAAGGTCACTGGAGCTTAAATAATGAGCCAAATGTAGGTCAAGCACCTTCTAAAGGGCTTTGGCAGCCACTGTGCGAGCTGTGAATTACCTCCACGTTTATTCATTTAACTATTAACCAAAGCAGCACTCGTTTACAAAACACCATAAACTCATATCTCACTGCATAAAAAAACAACAACTAAGAATCAAAAGGAAGTACTATTCCGAATCATTCTTCTGGTTAGATTAAAATTGAAATTAAAATTGAAAAATGGTACCCGACACATCTATTTCTAAGCAGGCTTACCTCTCTGACGTGTCTCTTCTTGCCAAACATGATCTTGTCATAGAGGTATTTCTCTTTCTTCTTCATCATCATAATAGCCAGTCTCTTCTCCTCTGCTTTCTCCTCTTGTTCAGCTCGCATGCGGTTCTCTGGTTTGACTTTACCAGGGGTCACCTTTACTGACAGACTCTGAGGGAAAACCAGCACATGACAGACTTTTACGTTTTATATTTATTTGACATATTCCTCCACAAAATGTTTCATTTAAGGTGCAGCAACAAACTAAAAAAAAAAGAAAAGATTCCATGCCAAAAAAAAAATCATCCACATTTAGAATCAAATAACGTAAATTGCACACATTACATCGTAAAAGCCAAAAAAACCTGACATGAAATAGTAAAAAAAAAAAAAATCTAACTGTTTATTGAATCTTTGGTCAAAATATATTTGAAAAAAAAAAATCTAAAATGTTTGCATTAGTGTTTTTTTGTTGAGTATCATATTTGATACATCAGGCTTTTATGGCT